GTCCAACAATATATTTGGAAAGTTTTCACTCGGGGTAAAAACTCCACAATATCAAAGAAAAGAATGGTTCTGGAATCAAAGAAAATCCAGAAAAATGAAAATTTTAATTTCCTGGTAAAATTTTAATAAACAAATCATGGTTAAAATTTTGGGGTGTTACACTTTCTCTTCTTCTTTTTCTTTCAACTCAGTAAAAGTTTAGGACCTTGATAAGTGCTACACGTGGCACGAAGCAATTTCGCCCTATGTATTTTGATGACAAATTTAGTTACCCGAGAATGACAATTTGAGTTGTGAAGCATGGCAACTTTATGTTTGACTTTCAGTTTTTTGGGGATTAGTTTCTTTTCGGATGGCAATTTTAGTTGTAAAAAATGTTGGGATGGTATTATTTCGTGTGCCACACGTGTAACACTTATCATTTAGAAATTTTTAATGCTTAAGCCGTCTTCAAAGCGTACCCTCACACCGCCCGCAACCGTCCACATTGCACGATCTAGGCGTGTTGTGTCATCTAACGCGGGCCTGTATTGGTCCGTCGAGCGGTCTGTACGTACTTCTCCCGGCAAATCCAAGACAAAGTGGGGGGAGGACGACGCTTTGCGGCAGTCCGCACCACAGCCACGCAGGACTCCAACACCCCTGGCATACCAAAAACCCCTCCCGGACCCCGCGCCTCCGTTCTTCCATTTTCTCTCTTGCCATCGCCGCCGCTCCACCACCCTGGCCTCCACGTCACGCCACACCCCTGCCGGAACTCGACGAGTCCGTCACATCCAACAGTATGCTCGGGCTCCACGCCGCTTCTCCTTCGCCGCCGGTACGAGCCTTTCCTCTGAACGCCTCTCAGGTACCATCCGCTCCTACGCTGCTCACCATGTCTGGCAAGTGTTCGGTGGATTGCTCGAGCTAATTTTGTTGTCCCTTCTTCTTTGAAGCAATGGATTCGAATCTGAAGTACATATACGAGCACTGTGTTGAGTCATCCGACGAGGAGGACTACATGGATGAGACATCGATGATGTAGGCGGTGCTTGCAGACACGGAGCGGGTGAAGTAGCATGTTCTCAATTTTAAGAGATCGGTCAAGGGCCATCGAGTGCTCAACCGCAATCGGACGAGCGGTAAATTTGACGCTGATGGATGACTACTTCGCCCCGATGCCCTCTTCACTGACAATTTTTGCCGGCACTTTCACATGCGCAAAAATGTCTTCAATTGTCTTTATCATGGCGTCCGGTCATTTGTTGACTACTTCATCTTGAAGAAAAACGCCGTGGGAAGGATTGGGTTTTCTGGTTACCAAAAGTGCACAGCAACACTGTGGATGCTTGCATGGCATGACCGCTGACTGGTGAGACGAGTGCCTATGAATGTCCGAGAGCACAAGCGAAGATGTCATGGTCAGGTTTCGGTATCCGTGCACCGCCTCCTAGCCTGATTCTGCCGTACTCTGCAGACCAGTGCTGGTCACTCTTTTGGAATGGGTCCTCGTTGACCCAGCTACGACTGCATGAGAATGGACAAAATTTGATATGTGGAAAGTCCAGCAAAAAAATAAACGACTTCAGTGCAAAACTCGATCTTACGCTATGGTAATTTTCGGCTGAAATCTTGACAAAAGTTCATTAACCTTTGTCAACTCTTTTTTTTTGCGGGTAACCTTTGTCAACTCATATTCGCAAAAAAGGAAAAAGAAAAAACAATCTTTGTCAACTCCAATTGCGAACGTAGGAGGGAGGCAGAAAACGGCGTGGAAGTATTGTGGTATGTCTGCATAACACGACAGTACTTGTATTCATCATAAGCTCAGGCCCTGGGCGTCGTGCTTCGTCAGAATGACCTTCTGGGCTCCCGGAGGAGCGCGGCATCCAGCAAGGACGTAAAGCACGCCTTGTGAGATCTCTTTCCCTGATCGTTTCGGTGGGTTAAATTTTAGTGATTCCTGCAATGTTCCCAAGCTCACCAGCAGAGCGAACATGCATGTACCCGGGCTTCTGTCCTTGACTGATCAGCAGTGTTTCTATTCCAGCACTGCACCAAAATGCTCAACTTTTTGCTCTTGCGGCCAACTTTTGTGCTAGCTCAACTCTTTTGCTCTTCTGGCCAACTTTTGTGTCGATCTGTCGTATTCTCTCTCCTGGCATGTACCCCTGCAGTTTTGGCACCGGGCTAGCCTCAACGAACGCCATCGCCCATCAACATGCACGCCAAAACGACATTCGCATAGTACAAGCATATACTCTCTCCGGTCTTAAATATTTTTTTAAAGATTTCAATACAAACATATACGAATATATATAGACATATTTTACAGTGTAAATTCACTCAGTTTGTTTCGTATGTAGTTCGTATTGAAATATCTAAAAAGACTTACATTTATGAACAAAAGGAATAGCATACATTGTCACGTTATGATATCAACGTACACATTGTTCCACGTCAGGTCTGGACGGAGATCTTCAGTTGGCTTGGGCTACATATCAGGGTTTCATATCGGCGACTTGCGACCTCGGTGAAGGAGTGGTGGATCGATAGGGCTAACACGAGGGGCCAGGATAGGAAAGCCATCTCCTCCCTCATGTTGCCAGTGTCTTGGAAATTTGGAATGAGTGTAACGCCAGGGTCTTCCGCAACCTCATCGCCCCAGCGACATTGATTGTGAAAAGATCAAGGAGGCGGCCCGTCTTTGGGCTTTGGCGGGGGCTACGCACTTGAGTATTGTAATGCTGCAAGAGTAGTAGTAGTTATTGTTTTCTCTAAACCGCTACACGGGGCCCTGTTAAACTTGCTTCCTTAATCAATGAAAATAACAAGTCTTTTGCCTTGTTTTCAAAAATATAAATTAACCATGCGCGATTTTGTGATCCTTATAAAAATACCCATCAACAAATGCACCTGATACAAAGTTTGACTTTAGACAAATATTATGCGCGTAGTAAAAAAGGAAGAGAGTATAAAGAAATACTATTATTTTATCAACAGATGGCTCACCTGGCGCTCTCACAAAGCTTCTTGAAGCATGTCCTACATATATGTCTTAATAGTATATAACTCTATCGCTTCTCTTCTCTCTTTCTCCTCATCTATCTTTTCCAACTCAGTAAAAATTAATAGTTAAACCGTTATAAACCGCTTAAATAATCTTATTGAACTTGTTGTAAAAAGAGTCTAACTAAAAAACTCAATCAAAATAAATGGTGAGTGATGAAGCAAGTTTCAAAGTTTGCAAAGTACCCAATTAGTGCGCTTGTTTATCTAAATAAATCACTCTTGTTGACGCATTATTCTACATTAACCGCAGTGCATGGATGTGTATCACATTGTCAGAAAAACATGGTTAGTTACCTGCATTGCTTGTTGGATATAATCAGACAATTTCATGATTAGTTCAAGAATATAAATTATGATTAAAGCAACAATTAGCATGCATATGTCGAACATACTAGATGCACTAAACAACATGATCAACAACATTGCACATGTAACAACAACCATAGCTAGGGACTGGATCATACTACAACACATGTGCTGATCCTTTGCAGATGAAGTAGTCGTGGCAGTCGCGGAGGCAATGTTGTTGATGATGGTGTTAGTGAAGACCGGTCGAAGCAGACAACGGTGGAGGCGACGTCGCTTGACTTGGAAGAAGGATTATGACCCATGGTGATGAACGTGAGCAGTCGTATGTAGTGCTTTCCAAAAACCTAATCCATCATCTCCCGGTGCAGGATCACAAGAGAGAGAGAGAGAGAGAGAGAGAGAGAGAGAGAGAGAGAGAGAGAGGTTTTGGTCACGTGTCGTCCCACTCGGCGATGCACGCCGGCGTTTGGGATGGAGAAGACTACAATGATGACGCAAATAGCAAAACGAGGCAAAAACCCTAACTTGATCTTAGTTTATATTTGGTCGTGCCCGGTAAGTCATATATGCATGGGTCTTTGAGATTTATAAATATTGCCTCTTATCGTCGGGCCTTTGAGATTGAGGAATTTTTGAAATGCACATGGGCCAAGACAATGCACGGGGCGATTTAAATGCGCCTTTGAATCTGAATAGATGATGAAGAGAAGTAAAGTGAAAAGCAAATTAATTAAGGTAGACCCTTTTATAAACCAAAAGGGATAGAGTAGTGTGCTTTACCAGCACATGGTAGTATATATTGTCACGATAGATGTAGTATTAATCATGCCTGATAGATGTATTGATCATACGTGCTAGAATTGCAATCCGCATGTTAAATACCAATCAGCAAATGCGCCTGATCCGGTCGTATCATCAGGGCGTGTGATACCGACAAGAGCCAATCAGCGGGAGTGGACTGGTAGTAGGAGTATCTTGGACTTCTCTGTCGGCGGAGCTACAAAATCTTGTGCTGCGTCAATGCAGACATGGGTGCGCGGCGGCGTGTCAAGCAAGTGGCACTGCATACACACAGTAACTACGCCGCCTCATCACTCTCATCCCACAACTGCTACTCCCAGACTGTAAATGAGCCACGATAGATCCCAGATTTGCACTGCCGCCAGTCCTTCCGAGTAATAACAGAGATAATAAACCAACTTTAAACACTTATTAAGATCACTAAATTTGCCCCACCATCCTGCACACCAGGCCCGATCAAATACTTTTAACTCGCTTGTCTGCCAATGGCCTGGTGCCGCATTTTTTAACGCATTTTTTGGTCGCCTCCTCGATGGCCCTCCACTGCGAAACCCAACTGTAAATCCAGCATTGATGGCGTCCCCTCGGTTTTTAATCGTCCCCTCCATCTTTTTATCCTGGCCGCGTGGGCCCGCCCTGTCAGTCCTCAGTGACCACCTTGCCTGCCTTTCACACGGGCGGAGTATAAACCCTCTCTGTTACTACGCCGCGCCGCGCCACGGCTTCCGCTGCACGCCATTACCGAAGCGCCCCCTCCTTCGCCAAGTGTCCCGCTCCCTCCTCCGGCCAATGTGACTTGCGGCCGTCGAAGCCGCGGCAGGGGAAGGAGCGAAGCGATGGTGGTCAGGTGCGTGCACGCCGATGCGGGTGGCTTCCGGCTCTGGCCGGTCTTCTCGGCCGCCGCCATGCGGAGGAAGCTTCTTGAGGTGCTCACGTGCGGCGGCGGCGGCGGTTCTTGCCGCGGCCGGACGTCCTTCCGGTCGCCCCAGCCGCGCGCGCCGTCGCAGTCGCAGCCGAGGCCCCGGTCGGACCGGCTGGCGGAGCTGCTCCGGGCGGAGCCGTCCGAGTGCGGTGACGACGAGGGCGAGGCTGACGCGGCCGCCAGGAAGTCGGCGGCGCTGGAAGAGCTCAAGGTCGTCGTCGCTGCCCTTCAGGACGGAGAGGGAGATGTTAACGGTGGCGTCTCGTGGCGCGTCGAGGCGGCCACGGTCGTGCGGAGGAAGGCCAAGGACGACGCCATGGCCAGGGAGATGCTCGCGATGCTCGGCGCCATCCCGCCGCTCGTCGCCATGCTCGACCAGGGCGGAGGCGGCGACGAGCTCCTGGCCGCCGCGCTGTACGCGCTCCTCAACATGGGGATCGGCAATGACACGTGAGTCTTCTGTTCCGCCACGCGCTCCTCTGTTTCTTGTTGATCAGATCTGGGGTGCTCGGCTTCTGATTCTGCGGGAGGCGTCTGGTTCGATTCGCAGGAACAAGGCCGCGATCGTCCAGGCCGGCGCCGTGCACAAGATGCTCCGCATTGCCGAGGCCGCGTCCGGCGCTCTGACGGGGGCGCTCGTCGCCAACTTCCTCTGCCTCAGCGCGCTGGACGCGAACAAGCCCATCATCGGCGCCTCCGGGGCGGCGCCCTTCCTCGTGCGCGCGTTCGAGGCCGCGGCCACCGAGCAGGTCCGGCACGACGCCCTGCGCGCGCTCCTCAACCTCTCCATCGCGGCGGCGAACGCGCCGCACCTGCTGTCCGCGGGGCTGGCGCCGTCGCTGATCGCCGCCATCGGGGACATGTCGGCGTCGGACCGCGCCCTCGCCGCGCTCTGCAACGTCGTGGCCGCCTGCCCCGAGGGCCGGCGCGCGGTGAGCCGCGCCCCGGACGCGGTGCCGGTGCTCGTGGACGTGCTCAACTGGTCCGACGACGCCGGGTGCCAGGAGAAGGCGGCGTACGTGCTGATGGTGCTGGCGCACCGGAGCTACGGCGACCGCGCGGCCATGGCGGAGGCCGGCGCCACGTCGGCGCTGCTGGAGCTGACGCTGGTGGGCACGGCGCTGGCGCAGAAGCGCGCGTCGAGGATCCTGGAGATCCTGCGCGCCGACAAGGGCAAGCAGCAGGTGGCCGACGCGTCCGGCGTCGCGGCCACGGTGTCGGCGCCGCAGGAGCGCGGCGTCGGCGGCGGCGGGCGGTGCCAGGAGGAGGAGAAGGAGGAGGCGGAGGGGGAGGCCTGCTGCATGAGCCACGAGAAGCGCGCCGTGCGGCAGCTGGTGCAGCAGAGCCTGCAGAGCAACATGCGGCGGATCGTGCGGCGCGCGCGGCTCCCGCAGGACCTGGCGCCGCCGGACGGCAGCCTCAAGGCGCTCTCCTCCTCCTCCACCTCCAAAAGCCTGCCGTTCTAACTTCTAAGCCAGCCCAACCGCAGGTAAAAAATAACACAAGCTCATCCACATTCCTTGCTTCGGTGCCACACAATGGCAGTAACAAATACAGTTCGTCGCACTAGTTGTTTTTGTCAGTTGATCGGCTCACTGTCATGTCAATGTTCTACGGTAGCATTTTGTCTGTCACCGCCAGATCAGTCGACCAACAACGGCTAACTAAAGAAGGAATCTGATCACGGGGACTTCCATCCTTGCTTCTAATCACGCTGTCACAGATGACAGAACCTACCAAGACCAAATTTTGTTTTCGTACTCTTGACAAATTAAGAGCTGCTGGACCGGTTTAATAAGAAAACCAGGGTGGAAGTGGAACTGGAAGCAGGGTCAGGAGGTGTTTGTTTTCAGGGACTTTTTTGTGTAGGGACTAAGAAAAGTCCCTCTTACATACTTTTTTACCAAACGAGATGGACTTTTTAGGACTAAACTAGGCATCTGGGACTAAAGGAAGAAGACTCTCAAGGAGAGTCTTTTTGGGACTTCTTCAATAATGCCCCTTCATGCACCCATTGACCCGCCACCCCATGGTGTTGTTTGACTGTTATTTTTCTATATACTAGGGGCAACATGGTCATTTAATAACCTCTAGGAAGGGACTAATAACTTTTTAGTCTCTGGAAACAAACAGGGAGGGACTTTTTAGGGACTATTGACTTTTTAGTTGGGACTAGAAAAAATCCTAGGACTAGAGAACCAAACACCACCTAGAAAAAGTCCCTTTTAGAGACTTTTTTATCAAACGGGTGAGACTTTTTAGGGACTAAACTAGGCATTTGGGACTAAATGAAGAAGACTCCCAAGGAGTCTTTTTTGGAACTTTTCCAACAATGCCCCTCCATGCATTCAATGGCCCGCCACTCCATGGTGTTGTTGATTGTTATTTTTCTATATAGTAGGGTCAATATGATCATTTAATAACCTCTAGAAAGGGACTAGAGATTTTTTAGTCTCTGAAAACAAACGGGGAAGAACTTTTTAGGGACTAGAAACTTTTTAATTGGAATTAGAAAAAAATCTTAGGACTTATAAACCAAACAGGGCCTCAATCCTATCCCATCCCTCCCTCCCTGCCTTGGTCGGTGTCGTGCTCCGTCTCGAGGGACGCCATGGCCATCGTTGCTTTCCGGCAAAGTAAGCGCGCGCGCGCGCCCCAACAAAGCGCGGCCATCGTGGCCTGGTCCAAAAGTCCTCCCGGCCGGTCAGGACATCTAACGCTCGCATTTGGACTACCGCTAGTACTCGTACAACACTCTACTAGCAGTAGGAGTAGCATTATGAGTACTACCTCCGTCCCGGTGTATAAGTCATTCGCGTAGTTCTAGGTTGATAATTTAACTATCTAAATATGTATTATATGTGACAAAAAATATATATTTAGAAACTACATCCGTGTGGAAATCTAGTGGTATACTTTTCATGACATATAACACATATTTAATTCCTCAAATCGATGACCTAGAACTACGCGAATGACTTATACACCCGGACGGAGGGAGTACGTATTATGGAAGGAATAGTAGATACATCTTCTGCCCATCTACTACTGTACTTGGATTACATTTTTGGCGGATTAAAATAAACCGATCTCTGAGCCTGTTCTTGTATCAGGAGGAGAGGCGACTTCGTTGCGTGACAGTGGGCAATGGCGGTGTCGCAAGCGTTGGAGACCGGCCGGGAATCTCATCTCTTGGAGCCTGTGGACGGAGTGATGGTATGGCCATGCTTGTTTATGCCCTGCCATGACGGAGCCCACGTGCTCGGACGCATCGGCAGACGCGCGCCGAGATGTTCTTTCTCCTCTCCTCCTAATCGCTTTCGCTTTTGGTGTTTTAACCGCGCTTCTTCCCAGCTTTTGTATATGTGATAGCTCTAGTTAATTTACTACATTAGTCGTATACTACACCCTGTGCCTGGTACTAGTAGTGCTCAGCGTCAGCCATGGCTTGCTCTTTAATCTTTACCTGTGTGTGCACATGACATGATCTTTTCTTGGAGTGGGAGCATTTTAGAGGTGGTAGTAGAAAAGAGAGGATGTAGTAGAGGGTGATTGATACAGTACTATCTTAATGTTGGACCATTCATCATTCGGTCTTTGCCAGCCTGAAAAACTCCCACGCTCCATGTGTTCCCGCTTTTGCTCCATGTTCATTCGGCACAACTGCTTTGCTTCCAGATTGACATTGGTCCGAATCTAACCACTACCACCACCACAAAGATGGTCCAGATTGTTGAGGTGGTTACTGTCACATGGGGCGATCTTGGTACAGATCAATTTACAAAGTACTGTACGCGTAGTTTCAGAACAGGCATCGTATCTCGTCCAGGTACTGTATTGGCATTCATTTGTGAGGAGAATTGGTGTGCGCATACGGACATTGCCAGCAGACAACTACTGCTAGTTGGAGTGTTTGCAAACAGTTTGTTAGATTGGCGTTCGCTGTACCGGCCGAGTTAAGCGTGTGGTTATGCAGCGGACTCCGCGTTTTCATTGGCTTAAGGGCCAACGCGGTTTTGATTAAGATTTAAGGGCTTGATTGATCGACGGAGTGGGTGTTAGGATTACGTCAAGCTTGATTAAGGGTGAGCTAAGATGATCAAGAAGATGCCGCAGCCGCAACTGACAAATTAATAGAGTATATGGTGCCCAGCTGTGCTCCGGAAGGCGATTCTTGTTCCAAACTGTCCTCACATGGACTCTTCTTCTCTCTTGCAAATGAAAACAATCAACACCTGCTGATTTTATTTTTTATAAACATACTGTATATACGGACAAAAACTAACTTAAAGAGACACACTGTTGCTTGGCTGGTTACTAGAGATCATTGTAAAAAAAGGGAAAAGGTAAAATTTCGGGGAAAATGTTTGCGGTTGTTGTCTCACTTTTTTAAAATTCTGAAAACTCTGGAAAATAAGAAAAATTGGATCTGCTCTTAGAAATTTCTGCAAAAAATCTTCAAAATTCTGGCAAATCGATTTTTTTCCCAGATGCTTACTATTGTTTTCTTGATTTTACATAATTTGCTCGACTGGTACCCTTAGTATTGTTTTTTATTTTACACTTTTTAAAAAAAAATACATTTTTTTAGAAATATTTTTTTCCCAAGATTTGTTTATTTTACCGTTTTCTTTTGGAAATTTTGATTTTTTTGCTGACATGGCTTGCTAACAATACAAAGGGTGCTGGTTGGAGGTTGTAATGTAGACTGTATTGGAATTGGGGGTTGTAAAATAGACTAGGGCAAGTGTGGAGGGTTGAAATATACACTTCTCTCAAAATCAAACACGTAGATTCCTAATTTTTTTTTTGAAACAAGTAGAGAGTAGATTTTCGTAAACAAGACCTCAAGATATGGCAAAGGGATTGTCACACTCACAATTTTCTGACCCATGAATCCTGGCCCTATGCAAATCCAACGTTTCTTCTCTTGCGAACAATGGCTTGTAATCCTCTCTTGCACGTCCCTTGCTTTTGGGTCCATGGGGTTTTGTTTTCGTGGCGTCCTCTCATGGCTTTACATTGTCACCACAAAATTGTATCCTCTTCTAAATTAAGATTAGATTGACCTTCTTGAAAAAAAAATCTCCACCTATTCTTATCTGTTGAAGACTCTGTGCTCCTTCAAGAGCTCACTTCAATGAGTTCCTTTAATCGGCAGTGTGCAAGGTTACAAACTTTCGCTGATAAATGATGGGAATGCTTAAGCTTATTTAAGGAAGGAATTGTGAAATCCAGTGGTTCTACACGTGATCCTTGTATGCCAGTTTCGTTACCCACATGTAGGAGTATCCTCTTCCGCGGTGCTCTGCTCATTGCTCAAGAGGGGAGTTTCCTCTTTCGACTTAACTACATGTGCATGGTCTCTTTTAATATCATATAGCTAAATATTCACAATTTTGCATAACTATATTTCACACACAAAATATAGAAGAGGACAGAACTCCATTATTGCACTCTCCCGCCCGCCCCACAATCTCTATAATTGTTGTCTTGGCTTGTATTTCCACTCACACTGTTTATCTAGGCCTCCGGTCTAACATATTTGGAGCATTTTAGTGCATGGTTGACTTTTGCGATGAAATAATCACACTTAAAGGTTACATGACAATACAAAAAACACATATATGTAGCTTAGGGGACAAAGTATATGCATGAAGAGTTTGGTACGTTGGATATGGTGCTAAAGGGCTGGGGTGTGTGTCGATCGGAATACTAAAGAGGTTTTCTCTGCAGAAGATGTCAATCCTATGGCTATCATTATTATAAGTTCTGGGCAACTAGACGAGACTCGGATTTCTCAAGGGCTCCATGCTATGTTCAGTTGGAGTTGGGAATCAAGAGCCAAGATACATGGAAATAAGCCTTTCCTTCTAAGGTTTCCTAATAAAGCAAAGTTGGTTGAACGAAAAAACTTGAAGAGAACAATGCTAAAGAAAAGCATCATACCATTTGGACAAATATGTCTAGGGTTCCTGAGTCACTATGACACTATCTTGGTGCTTGTGAGGTGGGTTCAGCTTTAGGGCCAATACCGAATATTGACATGGAAAATATAAATTTGAAAGAGGCCATTAGATTTAAAGTTGGGGCGAGAGATCTACACAGGATCCTAGTGGGCACTGAGATAACAATCAAGGACCTTTTGTTTTATGACATTGGGTTGGTTGTCTTATCTGTTGCTGGACATGGATGGAAGCAAAAGGAGAAAATTTCATTTTATTGACGTGGGAACTTTGGATGGACTGCAAAATATGAGGGTATGGCCAAGAAGGGCAAGTTCACTGAACATACTTATGGAGTTGTGAGTTTAGGAAGTATGTCATTAAGAAAATATGAAGATGTGGTCAAGTGAGAAGCTCAGGAGAGTATGAGGACATGAGCGAACCATTGTAAAAATGAAGAAGGTACCTGTGACTAGAAGAACATAATTGAGAATTTGATCCTTATACTACAACTAGATGAG